GAACCTTTTTTCGTAATGTTAATGAGTTTGGAATATTCTAAATTCACAGAACACACCATATAAGGGCTTTCCGCACAACTTTCCCTTTACAAACGTTCATTGCTTTCAGAAAACATATGACGGTGTCTAAAGATGCGCAGCCAGATCCTCAAAACCAGTTCAAACACAGACCCGGATTGCTGTCCTCTCATGATCCAGCTCTACATGCTCGTATCTGTGTCTTTACGCAGAGAAACCTCACAGCTCCAGCTGTAATGCAGCTTTTCTTAAAGTCAACTTCACATCACAGTTTTCAATATTTATGGAATAAACTGCATATTTATTATACATGATTTATTCGTGCACATCTTGTTTTTTTAAATACATGTGCCCTTGTAATATTTATTCAAAATAACTTGCAGCATCATCTCACTGTGTTCACCAGCGTGAGGGCGGGACAATAACCTGTCACTCACATGAGATCCACCAATAGCAAACCACAACCATCCAATGATGCAGTCGGTTCCCGATGGACATGATCAAGCCCCGCCCAGTTTTTTCTCATTTAAGAAGCCGTTTCGCTTCGGTATATGCGTCACAAATGGGGAAGAAAAGGCCGCTTTATGCCAGGTTTAAGGTGCGCTCACGTTTACTGCTGCTCGACGTAATTTCACTGGTGAAAATGAGTCAATCAGAAACTGTGCGATCTGGAGTTTCACGTGAGCATGTAGATTTTCACTTCTGAACAACAGAAAGCTGCTTGCTGAAAGTGACTTGTGTTTGAGATGTGCTTTATGCATCGCCACACTACTGACAAGAGACGTTTGCAAAATTAATCTGAAATATCACTGATGTGACGCACTGACATTTGTGAGCCTGCAGCACAAAAGCAGTCGCTGGGGTATATTTGTAGCAATAGCCAACAATACATTGTATGGGTCAAAATTATAGATTTTTCTTTTATGCCAAAAATCATTAGGATATTAAGTAAAGATCATGTTCCATGAAGATATTTAGTAAATTTCCTACCGTAAATATATCAAAACTTAATTTTTGATTAGTAATATGCATTGCTAAGAACTTCATTTGGACAACTTTAAAGATGATTTTCTCAATATTTAGATTTTTTTGCACCCTCAGATTCCAGATTTTCAAATAGTTGTATCTCAGCCAAATATTGTCCTCCTATCCTAACAAACCATACATCAATGGAAAGATAGTTTATTCAGCTTTCAGATAATGTATAACTCTCAATTTCGAAAAATTGACACTTAAGACTGGTTTTATGGTCCAGGGTCACATGTAAATTATGAAATATATATATATTAAATATATATAATATATCAATTATAAACAGACTGTGATTTTTGCATATGTGCGGTTTCAGTGGTTCCTATGACTTAGAATACATTTTAGTATGAACGTTATTGATGAATCATGATTTGTTTGTGAAGACATTCATATGCAGATTTCACACACAGTTTCATGCATTCGCACAGTTTATTCTGGAATATTTGAGCTCTGAATGTGACGATCAGCATCCCAGAGAGCCGTGGTACCATCATGATGAACTTTATCTGCTCTACAGAAACAGACTCAGATGAGGAGTTTGAATCACGTGATTCAGTGAGTCTGTTCTGTAGGCTACTCGTTCAGTCGCTTGAGTTTGTTCAGCTTTATTGTGTCTGTCTGTAGCGTCTTTCAGCGTCAGTGTTGGTTCTTCAGCGTTTGAGCCACACTGCCGTAGTATTTCCAGCTGAAAACGATGCTTCTCTCACAGACGAGTTGGGTCTCCAGCATATTATTCAGTGAATGTGTGATTCCTGTGAGTTTCCATCATCACTGACGGACAGACGGCGCTCGTTTCCATGGCAACCGTTAACCGTGACTCCTGCAGGAGAACTAGTGATCACTGATCTGACCTGCTAACCTGTGATTCTACGCTATCACCACAGTAGATTACTGCTAGTATTGAGCATCCGCTTGATCTTCGGCGTTTGATGCACATGTGATGAGTTTTAGAAACCCATCGGTTTAGATATTCTCGAATGCCATGAGCTGTAACGCTTTTTTTCTTGGAAGCTAAATGAGATTAGATATTTAAGAGTTATGTGTTGTTTGTGTCTAAATGCTGCAACCAAATTGCATTCGGGAAATGAAATCAGGTCATTCTGTTTCAGATCTCTGGCTAAAAAGTTTGAAAATGTGTGCCATTGAGATCCCAGTATCTCTGGAAATGAACCATACAGGGCCTTAAAAACGGAGATACCAAAATAAAAATTAGCTGAGAACCAAAATGTAAAAGGATATTAAGATATCTTTAATACGTCTTGAGATACAGGCAAGCAAACTTAGGGGAAATTCAACTCAAAAAGTGCTTTTTCCTCTTTTTGAACAGTCACGATTGGCAAATAATGTGACACAGATTGCTAAAGTCAACAGATTTTACTAATAGAGCTACCAATCTCTGTGTGGAAATAACATCATGAAGCTGCCAGCTTTCCAAAGTCATTTTTACCCTCCTGTAATTTGGCTCCGAATCTCAGGTGAAAATTGCGTTTCTAACCCTTCTCTACAAAATAGTGGATTACTCAGTAAATATACATCCATGACATTTCATATTTTGGCTTTTATCAGCATTTATGTTTGTCTTTCTTCAGAAAAACATGAACAAAATCAGAAATTTTAGCTGGGGAAGTTTCTGAAATATGGTTGTTTTGACAGGGAATGACACAATAGACAAACTGAAGTGAGGTCGTGTCAGATGAGCTGTTTGCTCGTATATTTCATCTTAATCTGCCATATGCTGAGCATTTCTTCATAAAGAGCTTTAGAGCTAAAAATACTGCGCTGAGGCTTTATAGACGCGCTGCTGCTTTTCAGCTGTTGTACGTTTGTGTTGAACGCCGTTTGCATCTGATCCGGGGAGATTTATTGTTCTGCAGCTTTAGCTCTGTTTGTGAGTTTTTACCGTATTTTACCGTGTTGTGTACTGGAGGTCGGTGATGGAGAAGCAGGTGGTGTTTGTGTGAAGTGCTTTTCTGTGTCAATCTCTGAATCAGCATCAGCCATCAATGTTTCATTTCAAAACACTTTCATTAGCTCTCTGTGTGTGTGTGTGTGTGTGTGTGTGTGTGTGTGTGTGTGTGTGAGTGTGGGTGTGTGTGTGGTGTGTGTGTGTGTGTGTGTGTGTGAGAGAGTGTGTGTGTGTGTGTGTGTGTGTGTATGAGAGAGTGTGTGTGTGTGTGAGTGTGGTCACAGTCAGCGATCGTCCCCAGAGCTGTGATTTCTACCGTCAGCTCTGAAAGCATGCAGGAGCCATTAGCGTTAGCCTAGATACGTCAAAACACTTACTGAACCTGAGGTTGGAATTAACCCTTGATTCATGACACACATTCATCTCCATCCCATGTGTATGAACACACACACACACACACACACACACATGTCAGGATCCTGCTGTGGATGTTCTTCTATATCTGTGTGTTCGTGTGATGGCCGTGTTCTGCGTTTGTCCTTCATCTCCAGCGGCTCTGCTAAAGATAACGTTTCCCCTTTTACTCTTAATTATGGATAATAATGTTGTGTCTAATTAATGTCCTCTGTGTTAATGCATCCTGACGTGTTCCTGCCGCAGAGACTCCGGCCTCCTCCTCAGGAATCAGACGTGTGTCACGCGTGTGCGGCGGCGTCTTCCTGCGCTCTTCTGCTCCGTGTCTTCATTAGGACGTTTATCATGTTTTGAGTCAAGCCACATTTATTTCTATAGCACTTTATACAGTACAGATTATTTCAAAGCAGTAAAATTAATCAATTATGAAACTAATTCAATTCTTAACTATAAATCAGCTCTACAGAAGACAGAGTGATTATTCAGATCAGTTCAGTTCAATAAAAGAGTCATTGTTGCAGAGTTCAACTATCAAACTAATTCAGTTCTTTGATTCTTAATTCAACTCTTAACTATAAAGCAACTCTACAGAAATCAATCATACCATAATTCATCTCAATTTGGATTTAATTCAGTTCATTAACAGTCAATGTAGCAAAATTAATAAATTATGAAACAAATTAGATTCTTTGATTCTTAATTTGAAATTCAATTTTTAACTATAAAGCTGCTCTACACAAGATAATTCAGCTCAGTTTGGATTAAATTCAGTTAATTAACAGTCAATGTTGCAGAATTCATCAATTATTAAACAAATTTGATTCTTCGATTCTTAATTTCGAAATTCAATTCTTAACTATAAATCAGCTCTACAGAAGACAGAGTGATTATTCAGATCAGTTCAGTTCAATAAAAGAGTCATTGTTGCAGAGTTCAACTATCAAACTAATTCAGTTCTTTGATTCTTAATTCAAATCTTAACTATAAAGCAACTTCACAGAAATCAATCATGCCATAATTCATCTCAATTTGGATTTAATTCAGTTCATTAACAGTCAATGTAGCAAAATTAATCAATTATAAAACAAATTCAGTTCTTTGATTCTTAATTCGAAATTCAATTTGTAACTATAAAGCAGCTCCACAGAAGACAAAAGTGTCATAATTCATCTCAATCCAATTCATTAACTTTGTCAGTGTTGCCGTTATTCAATTATAAATGTTGATTCTTAATTCGAAATTCAATTTCAGCTGTAAAGCAGCTCCACAGAAGACAATAGAGTCATTATTCAGACCAATTCGGTTCTAGTTTGGTTCTCATAGTGTCAGATTGATAATATTTCTGAATCATATCATACAGAGACTCGAGCGTTTATTTCTGCAGAAGATCTCTCATCGTGTCAGTTTCTTTATTTTTTCCGTGCGGATTCGTCTGAGAGCGAACGCTGCTCTGCTGTTTTAAGTGTTTTATTTCAGAGTGTGTTACTGATATTTTATTGATATGATCATGAAACTTTCACAAACGGGTCACATGTGCACTTACAGTGTCTGAGGAGAGTGATTTCTACAGGACAGATGTGCGCTAATAATTGATGGGATGCTTTTATCGCCGTTTCTTCCTCTGTTTCAGCGTCTGCAGGACGTGTTTGTGGAGTTCAGCCATCAGGATCTGCTGGACTTCTACAATCAGGTCAGACTGAATCCCACGTGTTTCCTGATCTTCAGCGCGTTCAGACGCTCACGGCTCTGTGTGTCTTACAGATGGAGAGGATTCAGACTCAGCTGGACTCGCTCAGCTGATGCGGCCTCCGTCTGCCGTCCCATGATTCCTCTGGTGGCGTCAGCAGCTGTTTGGTGGTTCAGTCGTTGAACACTCATCTCTGTCTGTGGTTGTTTCTGGATTTGTAATGCGAGGCTGAAGTGCTGATGCTGATGTGTTCATGAACGCCATCAAGATCCGTCACACATCTGATGATGTTTCATTAAAGATGCTTTTGCTCTGAAGGTCCAGCGTCTGTATTTATGACTTTTCTCTCAGGGTTTCTGAAGTTAAATTCAAGACTTTTTAAGACCAAGTAAAGAAAATTTAAGGAATAAATTGAATATAAATCAATATGTCAATATGGTCTCTAAATGTAAATGTCTTGTATTTTCAAACACTTCAAAGTTCAAAGAAAATACAACAACTTATTACTTTATAATTCATTTTACGGAAAAAAAAAAGTTCACTCTCAAATACTAAAATACGGCAATGACTTGTTTTGTTTGCAATACAAACACCAAAACAATGTCATTTACCTAAGATATAAAATAACTTAAAATCATAAGCCTTCTTTTATAAGCAAATTGATCAAAATGAGTATGATTAAAACAAGAACAAATATCTGCCAATGAGCTCAGAAACATAAACGTAATTCAAATGAAAAACAAGTTTTCATTCCTCATCGACAGATATTTATTCTTGTTTTAATCATAAACTTCAATTTCTCAGAAAACATCTGAGATCTCAGCGTCTCTAGTAAATGTGTCTTGATTTAAGGATGTTTAATATTTGAGCTGGAGAACAAGACAGAAATACTGAGGAAGAGATTCATTTTTTGCAGTTCATGCCAGCATTTAATGTCACAACTTTATTAATTTAAGAGTTTCTGCTCTGATTTAAGTGAATGATGGCCTGCAGAACGCTGTTTTCGGTCTCTCAGACGTCTCTCTGACAGAATCTAGTGCTGGAAGTGTTAATCGAGCGGCTGATGCTGGAGAAGATCTGGCTCATGATCTAAAGCGGCTAACAGGACGATGAGCGAGTTCCTCGTGAAGACTCGTCAGTCTGCAGGTGCTTCTGTGTCCGTGTGCTTCATCTTCTCTTGAAGTGCACTCACTGTGTGACGCGCAGATCGCTGAACAGATGGCGAGACGCTCGGTGCTGCGAGACTCCAGCAGAGACAGCAGAACACAGAACACAGAGTTCTGGAGGAGCGAGCCGATCACAGGCCGTCTGGACTCGACACGGAGCTTCATCTAGTGACTGCAGACGCTCCAGATGTGAGATGAAGCTCTCAAACAAACACATTCTTACGCTAAGCGCAACATGAACTCATAATCGACTATTAATCGAGTGCATTAACACCTCATGTTCCTGGTCTTATCGTACAAAAGAAAATTGTTTTTGTCCTCACAATTTTTCGTCAAAGTCTAATGACTGGATGTCCTCTACACTCGTAAAAAGTCAAAGAGAGCCACTTTTGAGATCAGTTTTTCTTAGTGTAAATTATATTTTAATAATCTTTTGTGCGATGGAAACGTTCTATGGATGTTGTTCTTCATGAAACCATCAATGCCAATGAAGAAGCTTTATTTTCACGATTGTAGGCCGTATGGATGTTGATGTGGATCAGTAAATCGATATTTAAAGTCTTTCTAAAATCTGGCCACTAGTTAAAGTTGCAGTCCAGTCATGTTTATTTGTACAGTGCTTTTGACGATACACATTTAGAGAAAGTCGTACTGGTGCTAGGACACACACCTGAGCGTTAAATAATCATTTAGATGTTTAGAAAGAGCACAAAATCAGTTTCCAGAACCTTCTCGTTCACTGTTCTTTGTCTTAAAATAATAAACTCTGAATAAAACTGTCTGCTAAATGAATAAACGTAAACGTAGATAATGATGATTTTGTCCCATACAGTAAAAACGAAGAAATTATTTCTGACCAACATACATTTTAAATATATGCTGTAAACAGCGAATCTCAATGAAATATATTTTGGCATATGATGGTTAAAACAAAATATATTTAAATATTTCAAAATATATTTCAGGGCAAGAAAATACATTTCCAATCTCTTGCAATAGCCTAGATTTAGACTAAATACAAATATGAAAGGTAAAGTCTATAGAGGCCAAAACTAAATTAATAATTTTTTAAAAGTGTTTAATTCTTATGTATATTGCACTATTCTTTGGAACACTGTGAGCTCTGAGTACAACCAAACGACGGATCTCTGCTTTAAGAAGACCAGAAACATAAAGATCACATCGTTCACGCCTGAAGTGTAGGATAAACTACATATATGGCTAAATAATTGTGTTACTTATTGAAGAAGAAATCTGCAGGAATGCATCGGCTGAATTATGCTTTTAGTGTGTTATCAAGTGACTGAGGACAATTATTTAGAATCAAGAGTTGAGAAAACTCATAAATCTGCCCTGGTTTTTAAACTTTTCTCAATAATTGCTCTTTTCCAGTGAATTAAATCACATTCTCTGAAAACAAGCTTTGATATCTCAAGCCGTGCTGCTCCTCTAGAACATTTATCTGAGGCTTTTTGATATTCTAACTGGAAAACAAGATAAAAAGGACTAATTAAAAACTGATCTGGGTCATTCTATCAGTGAAGTGTCTCCTAATAAACACATCATGTTTGGATGAATCGTAATGAACCTCCGGAGAAAACACGGTTCCTCAAATCCTGAAGCGGACCGACTCACATCAACAGATGAGCTCTAAACGGATTAAAGCACAAATCACCCAAAAACCAGCATTCTCTCATTATTTATTCGCCCTCATGTCGATCCAGACCATATGCTGTTAGTTTCTGTGGGGAACTTCAGTTGGTTTTGGAGCTTGAGGTCACTGTGAGCGTTTGAGAGAGAGATTTTTTAGCAAATGAAGACCGAATCGAGATGTGAGCGAGTTTCTGTCAGTGTGTGTGAACGTCGAAGCGTTTCTGAGTCTGAAGACAAACGCAGATCTTTGTGTGAAACTGGATCCGCGAGACGGATGGAGAAAATGTGCAGCTGTGGGATTTTCCGCATGGATCTGTGGGCACCTGGATTTGGGAAACAGGATTAGCGGGTGTGTAATTATAGCTGCTGTAGGGTGTGTGTGTGTGTGTGTGACACAGAGAGAGAGAGAGAGAGAGAGAAACACTTCGCTCAGTTTAAAGAATTCATGAATTCTGCCCTAATTTTAGAGTTCTTGGCTGTGCTGGAATATGAAGGAGGATCTTCTACTGATTGCACCGGAGAAATCCTCTTTCATCCCAGCCAGCTTTATTCGGACAGACAGTGGTTTGTGTTTTAATGCCCTGATGATGCACGTTATGAGTGCTGACAGATCAGCTCGATGGAAATCTTCATGTCAGTCTGTGATCCGATGGTACAATCCTGTCTGCTGGCACTCTGAGGTCACAAACTTACTAAAACAATAACGGCCGAGCATGCGCCTGATTCATGTGAACGCGTCTCGAGGGCAAGAGCAGCATAAACGAAGAGAGAAAAGAGAAAGAACTGAGTCGAGAGCTGGAGAGAAAGAGCCAGTGTTTGTGAAGAATGGAGGACGAGCCGTTCGGCTCCAAGATACTGGAGAGAGAGAGAGAGACGAACACTGAGATCACTGAGGAGCTTCACAATGACCCTTCAGCCGCTCCGACACACACTCACACACAGACACACACATACACACACACACACACTCTCTCTCACACACACACACACACTCACTCACTCACTCACACATGTTGTGTTTCCATGTTTTATGGGGACATTCCATAGGCGTAATGGTTTTTATACTGTATAAACTGTATATTCTATTGCCCTACACCAACCCTACCCCTAAACCTACCCCTCACAGGAAACTTTGTGCATTTTTACTTTCTCAAAAAAACTCATTCTGTATGATTTATAAGCTTGTTTCCTCATGGGGACCTCAAAAATGTCCCCACAAGGTCAAAATTTACTAGTATTACTATCCTTGTGGGGACATTTGGTCCCCATAACGTGATAAATACCAGGTACACACTCACACACACACACACTCACACACACACTCAAACACACACTCAAACACACACTCTCTCTCTCTCACACACACACACACTCAAACACACACACACACACACACACACACACACACA